TAACAAATTTATGAATAGAAAGGAAATTACTGCAATGGAAGGAACGTGAAGCACATTAGATTAATGAAAAAGCCTATTGCAAGAAAAAAAATATTAATATAAATAGAGAATGCTATCATCAGCAAGGCACTATTACTAATAAACATACGGGTTCTACATGTGCAAGCAGTGAAAGAATTATTGATCATAGGATTATGAGTGGTATGCGAAGTTGTACAAGCGTTAGTGTACCATGCATGATCGGATGAAAATCAAGAATTTATGGAATGTGTATCGTCTAGCAATGCAAAATTTGTAGTTTGGTTACACTATTAAGTAGTATGATTTGGTTGGAAAATAATTCCTAGCAAACATGAGAAGATAAAGGATGAGCGCCAAGGATAGATATAGGATGACCACTACAGGATGAATACTATGGACAAAAGAAAAGAAGAGGATGATCAGTGTCAAATATATACGTTTATGAGTATTACCTTCAATCCTTTTTCCCTTGTAATTTAGTAGAATTTAGGTTAGAATTGTATACTACTAAATGATTTGCACTTTCCTTTGATCATGGACCCAATTGCAAAATGGCCAAAATTCTAGGAAAACATTGACAAAAATGTAAACTTTGGTGATTGGACTAAAGTGCAATTTTGGGGACATTTCTAGTACTACTTTGTAGAAAAGGCCAGTTCCAGGAGACAACTTCAGGACCACTTCCAAGGCGTGATCCTTCGCAAAACAAGAAATCCTTAAAGGCCAAGAAAGAGCCATATCAGGTGGCTGTTGTGGTCCTGAATATTCCGCAAAATGTCAAGATAATGTAGCTGAATCATGCCTGAAAAGCCAAGCAAGGAATGGACGCTCCTGATCAATCTACTGGCTAGCATATATGTTAGAATCATCATGGAGAATCAAGCTGCAGTTGCTCTATAAAAGGATGAAATGATGCACACTTTGAAGATAGGAGAAGGAGGCGTGGCTAATTAGTGTAAAAAGTTTAGGGTTTAGCTGAGTAGAGAGATAGGCAAGAGCTCTGCAACAGAGTCTCTTAGGTAGTATTAGCAGAGACTTCAGGTGAGTAGCATTCCAACGCGCCTGAGTGATCTGTTGTTCATCCAAAACTTGTATCTTTCGCTCTCTACTTGCTTCCTTTAGACTTGTATTCATGTTTGATATGCATATAATTTACCTATTTTTAATATCCCTTTATGCGAGATTTTGCCAATATTTTAAATACATTTCTGCTATTTATTTAATTTTATATTTGTTTATAGGAATTGTACTCAATTGAAGAAATTGTCGAAGATTTGGACTAAATTAAAGATAAAGAGCAACTTGTAGTGGCGAGAATGAAGATTTGAATAATAAATAAGAAAGGAATCGGAAGATTTGAAGGCTTGGAGGATTAAACATGTAAATTGGGAGTTTTTGTTTTATGTCAGGCCGAAAGAAAGAAAGTTGATTTGCATGGATTTGAGTTGATTTATTTCAGCCTAAATCTGGAGCCCAAACAAAGGACATGTGGGCTGGTCTTTCTTAATTCAAATCAACAAAAAGAAAACCCCAAAAAATAGGCAGCCCGTATGCAATCTTTCGGGTGACTTAAGCTTTCAAAAATATTTTTGGGCATCTCCCTCGCGCTGAAGACGAAACCGAAAATAAAGAGGAGAATTCCAAATCTATAAAAGGGGTGAATATCTCGGGTTAACTAAGTTTTTTGGTTTGATTTTAGTACGTATCTACTACTTGTTACTCCTATTTTGCAATATTCTAGTCTATATCCTATTATTTAGAGAGAGACCCGGCGCACACAAAGAAGCCGCGTCAAGGAGCAATCCGGTTCCATTGTATTCTTCTCGGCAGTCGCAATCTTCTCTTCCTGGTTCCATTGTTCCTTGTTCTTTTATTCTTTTTTAAAATAATGTGTAGCTAAATACTTTAATCTAGAGTTTTGGTTTTATCCGCCGCACTATTGTAATTTATTTAATTTATTTGATATTGTGAATTTTCCATTACTTAATATTTATTATTCCTTTTTTTTTATCCATGTGAATACCTAATCATTATTTGCATGCTTTAGGGTGTTAGCTGAAGTAGCGAGAGTGGAAGGCTAGTATTAGTTCCTAGGAATAATAAATTTAGGTAGTGAGCCACGACAGTAGGAATACCACCTTTGCCACTAGTAATTCCAAAGCTCTTAATGTGCTTTTATTAACACCTATAGTCACGAGAGTAGACATAGGGTTTGTTTAATTAAGAAGGTTATGACACGAGAGTGTATAATTCTTAAATTTGTGAATTGTCGTGAGATTAATGAGAGTCCAAAGTCACATATCTATAGATTGAATTAAACTGAGTAGTCGGTAGGTGAACCCTTTGCTCTAGGTTTTCTTTTAATTGTTTAAATCTTAAATTAGAGACAATTGTTAGTTTTAGGTTTAGGCTAGTTTAAAAATCGATATCATAGTTTGTCTAAATAATAATAAGAAATAGTTTGACCTGGTATTTGTTAACCTTCTCTGTGAGATCGACCCTACTTTCTGCTTTACTGCTAGTAATTATACTAAGTAGGTAATTTTATATTTGACTAGTGTGACGTTCTATGCTCAGTTATTCATGGATTTTATATTTAAATTACTAAATATCAGTAGCTAAGTCATTTGGTGCGTTCGAATCCCTCTTTGTATGTGAAAATACCTTAGATGTGCATAGTGTTCCCAGTTTTAGTGTTTGAATTAAACTTGTGTGTAGTCTGATCAATTAGGCACTTGTGCTTGCATACTGGGGGAACCTTGAAAGGGTTAACTTAGTTTAGAATGACTAAAATTGATCGAGAACTTAGAGGTAACAGTGTAATATTTCAACTAAAATTCAGAAGATACCTAGTTAGCACAAGACATTCTCTACCTTCTAATGGCCTGGTAGGAGTTGAACACTTTACCCGGAAGGGAGCTTGTTAGTCACTGGAGAGACTCCCTTAAAAATATCGGTTGAGACTTAGGGTTATATTAGTGTCCAATCGAACATAGTTCATACCAAATGGATGCATAATCATTGTAAAAGCAACATAAGAAGAGAGGAGGATCCCCAAACTCCCTTACTCTATTTATTACCCTTCATTCTTCCTTAAGCTGCTACATTTCATACTCTATCTGCTCTAATTTACTTCCTTGCCTGTTATTTACTTGGTCTGTTTAATATTCTGTTTAGGAAGGCCATCACTCACGTGAGGGTTGGCAACACTTGCGCAAGTGGCCATCTCAACTGCTCTTTCCTGTCTCGTTTTGGTTTGGTTTTCATGTATTTCTAGGTGGTTTTTGGATAGTCATTGCATTCTCGTGGATTCAACCCAACTTGCTAGCTATCTACTACTTTAAGTTGATTATCTTTGGGATGACTTGATGGCAGTCGGTGACACTAGAGGATGACTTGATTATCTACACTTTCCTGTCTCGTTTTGGTTTGGTTTTCATGTGTTCTAGGTGGATTTTGGATAGTCATTGCATCCTTGTGTATTAGATCCAACTTACTAACTATCTACTAGTTTAAGTTGATTATCTTTTCGATGACTTGATGGCAGTCGGTGACACTAGAGGATTACAAGATTGTTGATATTGAAAGTACCAAGACCATGCACGTGAGGAAGAGACGATTGACTAGCTATTATAACAGCATTGGTTGTTATAGGGGGTGAATGATTAATGCTTTGAACATGTTAGACCCCAAAATAAATTTAGGTCCTTTTGACAGGCCGATTTGGCCGTCAACAGAAGAAACGGAGTTGCATAATATTGGTCTTCAAATCAGAGAAGGAATAGTAATTATTATCCCGTTTGGTTTGTTTCCTATAATTTAGAGATAATATTTGAGACTTCCTATTTGGTTTGGGATTAATGAATGAAACAAGGGAGTATATATTGGTTTATTAATCAAATATTTCGGTTGGCATTTGGTTTGATTAATTAAAGAATCCTATCATGTTGGGCTGTTGACATTGCATGGGAAAAGGACTCCCACGTGCTGCTACCAAGTTAATAAGTAATCATTTACTTATTTACGTAGGTGGGCAAGTGTTCTTCTTCTAATGGGATTCTGGTTCAAGAAATGTGATCAATTAGAATACTACAAGTTGGGAGGTTCTTTTGGGCCAGGAAGCTTCATCAACCGGGCACATCTTTTCCTATTTAAGAGTCGCGTGAGACAACAAGAAAGGGGATCTCCTCTCAACATCGATCATCATCGACTATCATTTTATATCTTTTCTTTTATTCATGTATCTTTTATTCATGTTTCCATAGTGTAGCCTAGTCTAAATAGTTTTTGGCCTATTTTTCTTCATAGAAATAGGTAGTCGTTCATCATTTTCTACTTCAGTAAATTCGATTCTTCTTCTAATAGCGCATTATCGACGTTCTCCATAGCTAGTCGGCGCTATCTATCTCTTTTTTCCCATTTTAATGGATTGACGTCCACCACGCTTTGGCTTGTCTCACTCTTTCTCTATATCTTTTTCTTATTAATATTAAACCAAAGTTAACCCTAAGTTCTCGATTCTAAGTCTGAGGCTGGTTTTAAAACACATCCACAATCGCTTGGTTTTATATGTTTTAGGAGATTTTCACCCCTCCTTTCTCACGCTTTAGAGTGAATTTTTCGGCACAAACATAATGGCACGCCCGGTGACAAGCTTTGGTTTGATTCCTAGATCGTGGTGGTTTTTCCTTCTAAAAATCTCTATTTTTAAAATCTCTCTTTCTTCTCTAAAAAAAAAAATTCTTCCTTTCGTTTTTTATTATGGGATCCGATCTTAGTAGCCCTAGGATCCGATCTATACTTCTTCTCCATATAATAGGTCGCCTAGTGATCCCCAATCTCCATATTCTTATAGTCCATCACCACTGGTGGGTATATCCCTGAACAGCCTGCAGTTCCACATGTAGGACATAATTCTTTGGGGGCTGAAAATAATATCGGATGGCAGGCTACCCTTGATGGCCGCTTTCCTCAATCTTATGGTCAACATGGTGCGAAACAGCAATCTAGTTGCATTGACAGACGGCGTAACGGGTATATGGTGCAAGATCCCTCAAGATTTGGGGGGCTGCCCGCTGTTGGTAACTCAAATGCTACACATGATTTTTACAATATGCTAATTAGTGAAAACATGGTGCAACAGATACAGGCGCAGTAACTGCAGGTTTTGTCGCTGCAACAACCGCAAGTTCAGGTGCAGGTGCAACCACATCAGGTTATGTTACTGCAACATCAGCAAGTTCTGTTGCAGGCACAACCACAACAAGTTTTGTCGCAGCAACATCAGCAAATTCAGAAGCAGGTGTTGCAACAGTTGCAGTTATAGCAGGTAGTGCCGCAGGTACAGAATCTACAGGTGGTACAACAAACTCAGCAGACGCAAGCAAGTGAAATTTCAGTTGCAACAGCAGATCAATTGCATGAAAGTTTTGAGACAGATTTATCGTCAACATCCGGGGGGCTACCTAGTGATTTCGATGCTGAGTTTGGCAAGTTTAGGGAAGGCCCGCAGGAACAGTCTGAGCACATTCAACAACCGTTTGTCGATGCAAATGAACAGGTGTTGCAGCCATTAAATACAGTTTCGGCGATTGAATCATTACCGATTATTGAAACTATAGTTTTTACTGAGCATTGCGAGCATACTGATTCTTTTTGTTTGTCTAATGATCCTGTTATTGATTGCAGGAAATCTTGTGAGTCTTCTAGCAGTGACAGTGATACCAAGGAGATTATTTGTGACATTTGCGACAATATTTCACCTGCAACTAATAATTCTGTTTGTCCAAGTGTCAACGAAATTAAGGCGAGCAGGGGCAAGACCAAGTGGCAGTACCTGATGCCAATTTATCTGTGACAGCTGAACCGACACAATGCCAAGTTGCTGATGTTCCAAAAGAAGCAAAAGCAGACCAACAGGTTGGAGTTTCTGATGATGGCTTCCAAAATCAGCGGTGCAACAATAGTGCCGAATTGGTCAATGATGCAACAGATTCTTTGCTGGTTAAGCAGAAGTTTAGTCATGCCTAGCTTTATGACAAGAGAGGTTCTGCCAATAGAAGAAGCAAGAGGAATAAAGGGAAGCCAATACCGCATGGTTTTCACTTTGCAGAAAAGGTCGATGACAGTACCCAATTATGCAGCATTGATTTTGAAGGTGGCAACAACAATTATGCTTATTTAGATTATGGTGGTGCTGTTGAATGGAGGATTCATTTGGCTAAAGATCGCGAGTTGCTGAAATCCTTGATTGGCCGAGAAAAGAACCGTTCTGCAAGAGCTCAGTCAAAGATGCTTACATCTTCCGTTATGCGGCCTAGCAGAATCAAGGCATTTGGGGGCAAGGTGGTCGATGCTAAGTCTAGCAATGTGTCGTCTAAGATTAATAGCGATGTAATCCAATGTATGGCCGACCAAGAGGAAAAGTATGTTGTTGAAGTGTCGACAATTGATGATAAGGTCGACGGCGATCAAGCAAGATCTATTGCAGATGCTAGTAAGTCATTTTCGATTAATGGAGCACTTGAAAGTAGTAGTGCCACATCAAGCTCTCAGGTTCAGAATGATAGTGGGTGCCAGAATAGTGGTTCTCCTGCACATGAGGGTCAGTTCCAGCAAGTTCATAAGGATCGTCGCGGTAATGTTGACTATCATACATGGCGTCAACGCAGTACAAGAAGTTCTGGCAAAGCAGGTGATTTTCGAAGGAGACGTGCAACATCTGGGCAAAGTAGGCATGCACCTCGCTTTAATCATTATGTTCCTCAATTTGCATGGGTGCCGTACTACTTTGTTGTTCAGGCAGGTTGGTGCTTCGTCGATGTTAGTGCCATGCCAAACGCATATTATTGGTGACAATGTGCTTATCAATGCTCACATCTCATTCCATTCCATATAAGCGTTCAGGGGTTTTATGTTAAACCCCAAAATAAATTTGGGTCCTTTTGATTGGCCAATTTGGCCGTCAACCGAAGAAACAGAGTTGCCCTAATATTGGTCTTTGAATTGGAGAAGGAATAACAATTATTATTCAGTTAGGTTTGCTTCCTATAACTTAGAGATAATATTTGAGACTTCCTATTTGGTTTGGGATTGATGAACGCAACAAGGGAGTATGCATTGGTTTATTAATCAAATATTGCAGTTAGCATTTGGTTTGATTAATTAATGAATCCTATCATGTTAGGCTGTTGACGTTGCATGGGAAAAGGACCCCCACGTGCTGCTACCAAGTTAATAAGTAATCATTTACTTATTTACGTAGGTGGGCAAGTGTTCTTCTTCTAATGGGATTCTGGTTCAAGAAATCATGTGATCAATTAGAATACTTCATCAACCAGGAACATTTTTTTTATTTAAGAGTCGCGCGAGACAACGAGAAAGGGGATCTCCTCTCAACATTGATCATCATCGACTATCATTTTATTTCTTTTCTTTTATTCATGTTTTCATAGTGTAGCCTAGCCTAAATAGTTTTTGGCCTATTTTTTTCATAGAAATAGGTAGTCATTCATTGTTTTCTACTTCAGTGAATTCGATTCTTCTTGTAATAGCGCATTATCGACGTTCTCCATAGCTAGTCGACGCTATCTATCTCTTTTTTCCCATTTTAATGGATTGACGGCCACCATTCTTTGGCTTGTCTCACTCTTTCTCTATATCTTTTTCTTATTAATATTAAACTAAAGTTAACCCTAAGTCCTCGATTCTATGTTTGAGGCCGGTTTTAGAACACATCTACAATCGCTTGGTTTTGTATGTTTTAGGAGATTTTCACCCCTTCTTTCTCACGCTTTTGGCTGATTTTTTCGGCACAAACAGAACATGAGTTTCATGCATGTAGATTAAAGATATGGTTTGAATGAACGAGAATGGGGAAATTTTTATTGAAATTGCTATATTGATTGACAAAATTTCATGGCAAACACATAAAGATTTGTATGACAAGATTGGTTTCAGAAATAGGTCTGCCAATAGCAGTAAGAGGATTATAGATAGCTTTTAATTTGCGGACATAATAAGTAATGCTAAGATCACTTTTCTTAAGCTTATGAAATTGAGTTTTCAATTGAAGGAATCATGACCTTATTCGACCATGGAAACTTTTCAATATGTAACTATGATTTAAGAGTTATGACAGACCCATTGGGACTTATAATACTTTGTAAAATATCAATAGAAACAATGGCTTGAATACAATATAAGACAATAAAATCAAGTTGTTGCCTTATGTGTTATGAAGGATTAGGAGCTCAGTTGTTGTAACTTTCTAAATACAGACGCAATAACTTTGCTTGTTCATCATTACTCATTACTGTCTACTCCCCTCTCTTCTTTATAACCAATTTCTCGTTATCCCATTCCAATCAATTTGTATGAAAACAAGATCAATTGGACATTTTATTTTCATAATCTTATTGTACCTTTGCAAATGATTATTTTATTTGCGTGACAATTCTGTTGTTTGCTGCATTTAGATAAAAAAACAATTTTCCATATATTCGTATTAGATATGGAGGAATTGCTATAGGATCCTAATCTAATAGTTAGGATTGTATTTATTTTCTCTTTGTTTTGTGAATTGGAACTGTCATGGATTTTTAGCAAAACCTCTGCAAGATAGTTTATATATAGATAATTGTTGTAGTAAGATTTTAGACAATCTTTGCACGATACACTCTTTTCATGTGTAAGTCTTAACCACTATCTTATGTAAATTATTTTTTAACTACTAAAATCCGGAAATACTCGTAAAGTACCTTCCTAGATTTAACGAAAACAAAAATACTTGTTATTGAGTGAAAAGATGTATGCATGTGCGCTTTTCAGGTGACATCTATGGTAAGTAAAACCTAATTCATGTATATTTGGTGAAAAATTTGAAACCAACTTTGTCAAATTCTTGTGAAACTTCATATGTAGCTACCAAGTTCTTGGGTTGATTAATAATTTGTCTTCCAATACCTATTAATTGATGCATGGATTGTGAATTTTTTTATTTGTTAAAGGAGACATACTCCGAACAATAATAATAAATGGATTAACTATAAGCTTGGAGCCCTTCACTGTTATCAAGGATCCTTTGTTTCTCCATTAACGCAGAGTATGATTTCATTTCCAAAATCATAAATTCAATTGAATTTCCTACAATTTCTACTATTTCGGAGGACGGACACTGAACTCATTATTGCACGTTCCATATAAACTCTGCAAAAGTTTCATTAGTTAGAATCAATCCATAACAAACTTCATTGAATCTTCGATGATCCCTATTAATGTTAATGTTATATAAGCAAAACTTTTATCGGAAAATCTCTATTTAACATCCTTGCATGTGCTTGAATTTCATCATTCAAAAATTTCTAGTATACGCTATACAAGTATTGATAGTTATAAACAATTCATTAAAAAACTCCGTATAAGTTTCTTTCATCTCTATATGATGATGTTATTATAAATTCAATCATGATTTGACAATCCATAAATTACTAATTTGTAACTAATAAGTTTAAGTGTTACAAATGGATTTGCAAAATAATTCTATGTCCCAAGAGTGGTATTGGTGGAAAAACATTATTTGACATGCAATTGTAAATTTAAATTGCTGATTGTTGTCCTATAATCATTAATATTAGCATATTCTCTTTATCAACATATGTTGTTATTATTAAAACATTTTTCACTATTTTTAGCTTTTGAAATAAGACAATTGGGAATTGGGATTGTTAAAATGAAAAAAGTTCTACATGTATGTTGTTATCTTGTAGTAATAAGTTAAAAATCAATTTTGGTACCCAATTTTTATCCCAAGTTCAACTAAGTCACCACAGAATTTTTGTCGATTTTAGTCATAGCAAATTTTTTTTATCACCTATTTTAGTGTTCTTCAGAGAAATATGGAAATTTACTTGGATTTGGCCTCAATCCGTTAACTATCCCATGTTTTATTATTCTTTCCTTTGACTGATGTTGACCCCACATTTGTTTGATTCATATTTAAAATATTAAAAATAACAAAACACACTTTTGGGCCGTAAAATATGGGTGGTCATAACTTCTGGTCACCATTAATTTTTTACTGACAAATTAGTCACCATCCTTTTGTTTATTCAACAATTTTAGTCAACTATTACAAAAAGTCAAAAAGTCAAGATTCAAAAAGTCAAGGATACCAAAAAGCCAAGATTCAAACGGATAGCAAATTGGTGGTTCAACTACTACAAAATGGACAAAAATTTCCATGGAAACATCATGGCTGCTTGAACCAGATTCAAGGTATTTTGACTCGAACGGGTTATAAAATGCATCATATTTTTTCGAGAAATAAATGCATTGGCAGATGGACTATCGAAACGAGCTTCAAAGGGACAATCTATAGAACATGACAGTCCAGATAGCCTTTCTAGCTCCTTGAGAGGTACTCTATATTTAGATCAAATGTCTTTTCCATACCTACATATTAGATAGTTGATTAGAATAGAGAGCTGTCAAGGGATTCTAGAAAATCTTTGTGAGACAGACTCTTAGTTTACTTATCTAGACTTGGTGAGCTTATATGGGATTCTTGTAAGATCTTTGTAAGGCAGTCTCTTAGATTTTAAATCCTAGTTAGTCATATAGAACTGTCAAGAGGTTTTTAGAGAAATATTTGTAAGACAGTTCTTAGCAGTAGATCTGAATTGAAACCGTCATAAGATTTTAGTAAATCTTTGTTAGACGGTTTCTTCTTTTTGGGTAAGTTTTAAGCACTGCATATGTAATTTCTTAATTGTTATCAATAAAATCAGAGGGATGCCCACTAGGTACCACCCTAGTTCTCTTAAAAAAAATTCAACAATTTTAGTCAATTTAACAGTCAACCAACGGACAACTCTTTTTTCCGTTAAGTTTTTTTATTTTCATTAATTTTTTATTGAAATAGGACCCGCAATGTATTGACTAAATTGTTGAATAAACGAAAGATGATGACTAATTTTGTCAGTAAAAAAATTAATGGTGACCAAAAGTTGTGAACCCTCCATAGTTTAGGGACGAAAAGTGTGTTTTGTCCTATTCAAAAAGTTAAAAGATAAAGGAAAAAGAGAGGGATAAAGGCATCACCTGGAAGGATTTTACCATCATCATTTTCATCACAAGCATAACTTCAATATGGATTATGCAGGCTAGTTATGGATTCTATAGTTTATATTCATGATAATAAGATGAAGAGTTTCGCTGGTGACAATTCTATCCCTCTTCTACTACCTTTTAGAGTGGGCAAAGCATTATTTATTGCTCGCCAAAACATCCAACAAATTTTCTTTGGCAGCTTAACCTTCAAGAAAATCTTCCATGCTGCCTCTGTAACCATATTTAAGGTTGAATTGAGGATGAAGCTTAGTTTGCTTCCCGATTATTAACTGCCTTATAATATCTTGATTTCATTGTATACTCACCAATTGCTAGTTTTTTAATATCGGCACATCTCGTTTATTCTTTGGATCAGTCGGAATATACAACCCCAAGTTTTTTTTACCAAAGCGGGAGGAAACATGATCATTAACAAGGGCATTTTCCTACAAAAATTTCCCTCCATCAAGTCCCTGGCTTGCAGATTTTCCAACCCCTGATTATATATTAAGGGATTTAACAAATCAGCAATCCAATCATCTTGAACATGTATATCTTTCTCGTTCATCACTTGCCATTTAAGCCCTTTTATCAGCAATTCTTTACCCCATAAAACACTTCTCCATCCCCAAGAGATCCCTTTCTTTTCCTCGCAATTCATGAAGTCTTTATCCTTTACATACTTTGCCATGAAGGTCTTAGAAAATAGAGATTTTGGTTTTTTATATATTCACCAAGCCATTTTGGCCAAGAGTGCTTGATTTAGCTCCCTCAAAGCCCTTAACCCAAGTCCTCCTCTAAACTTCGACTTGCAGAATTCTGTCAAAGCCTTCTAGTGTACCCCTCAATGTTCTTTGTGTCCCTTCCAAATAAATTTTTCAATAGTTGAGTTTATTTGTTTCATGACTGATTTTTGCAGCTTAAAAACTTCCATCATGTAGATTAGCAGAGAGGCCAAAGAGTGTTTTGCCAATGTCACTTTGCCTAACATTGACAATGAATCATTTCTCCAAGAATTCAGCATTCTTCTCATTCTGTCGGTTATACAGCCAAACTGAACCTTTTTCCTTCTCTGAAAATTAAGATTTAGTCCTAGATATTGAGACTCTAAATTTTCATTTTGAATTCTAAGCCTTGATGACAACTAGACCCTTTCCCTTTTACTCATATTCAGACTTCTCATAATTGAGGACTTCTCAAAATTCACCCTTTGGTCTGAGAGTCTTGCATCTTGATTTAGAACTTCTGCAAAAGCTGTGATATTTCTATCCATGTATTATGTAAAGATTAAATAATCATCAACATACATTAGATGAGAGATTTTGGGGGCTAATCGTGCTATTTTGATGCCAAAGCTGCCATTTCTCCTTCCCAAATTGTTCATTGCAACCAAAAAAGCTTGTTGACATATGATGAACAGATAAAGTGAAAGAGGACACCCTTGGTTAAGACCTCTTTTTGGCTCAAAAGCCTATGACTGCCATCCATTAAAACAAATTGAGTATTGCATAGACGTCACGCATTTCATAATCAGCTGTATCATATTTGACATGAAGCCAATCCTATCTAAGACTTGTTGCAGAAATTTCCACGAGATCCTATCGTATGCTTTACTCATATGCAACTTTATCGTAGCTAAACCAATATTTCCCTCCTTTCTCTTCCGCCAATAATTTATTTTTCCCTATATATCGGCCATGCACAAAGCCATACTGGTATTCCTCTGTTAGCTTGTCCAAAATCCTGTTGATCCTATTTGCCAAAATTTTTGCCACAATTTTGTAGAGAACATTGCATAAACTAATTGGGAAAAAATCCGACAGTGAGGTTGGATTTCTTTTCTTCGGTATAAAAACCACAACTATCTTATTCTAGCTATTCCACCATTTCTGATTGTTCAAGACTGCTAAGACATGTGCAACCAATTTTCCTTTAATAAGCTTCCAATATCTATGATAAAAACCAAATGGAAAACCATCTGGTCACGACGACTTCCAAGGGGACATACTCATGATCACTTCCCTAATCTCTTGCTCCGTATACTCTCTTTCTAGATTCATTCTTTCTTCTATTGAAAGCTGTTGCGGGAGAAGATCCATAATTTGTAAACCTGATCCCCAGAGAATATCATCATCTAGCTGAAAATTGTCATCTATAAAAATTCTTTTAAAATGATTTAGAATAAGTTCATGCATGTACTACTATGAGTGGTATTAGATTCAATCTTCCCCTTTTAGGCATGTAATCCATATAGTTCCTTTCTTTTTCTCCGTCCACGAGTGAAAAATTTCGAATTATTCTCACACATACATACTACTAATTACAGACTTTTTCTCACAATGACAGAGAGCTCTTCTGTACATACCAAATCGGGTACTTTAATATCCATGAATTCACCAAAATCCTTTGGTTATATATGGAATTGTTCAAAAAACTGTTTTTCAAAGCCAAAGACACATAGATGAATTTTTCGAACCATGAAAGAGGAGATTGCAAGCTTTGGCAAGGGAAATCACACCAATACTCAAATCGGTTGTCTATTAGATTTTCAGAGTTTTAACCGGAAACAAATTCAAAGTTATTTTTTACTTCATTCGGGCTTCAATGCATCAGGAAAATACAAAGAAGGCAATATATTTGTTGGTGCAGTTTCACAGACACGATCAAATGATAACAATCCTAAAAAGAGGGCTTTTTCAATTGATGGTGCTCTTATAATGTTTCACCAATAGTGCCCAAATAGAGCCTACAACAAGTTGCAGGAACTGAAGATCATCATCCAGGTATGAATATTTAGTTTTCCGTCAAATTATCTCAATTACAATATAGGGAAAGATCTGGCCTCAATGATTGGTAAAGTGGAAGAATTGAATTTTAGTCGGCAAAGCAAGCTAGTTATGTGCAGACAAGAGTGTTGATCAAATTTTCAGATCAATTGCCTTTTGGTTTTTGTTTACAGCTTCTCACTGGTGATAAGGTTTTGATTATATGCAGCTAAGAGAAGGGTTATAAATTATGTAAAAGGTGTAAGCATCTGGGCTACTCTTCCACAAATTGTAGTGAATTAGAGAGATCAGATTGGATAAAAATTCTATGTGGTTCAATTCTCTATATAACTTCAACCAGAAATCATGGAGTTTCCATGAAGAGCCTGTACAGAGGTAAAATAAATTGGAATAATGAATAACGGCAGTGGCCAGTGCCGGTGGAGAAAAATTGATATCATCACCTTTGGAAATTTTGGAACAGTTGAGAATGCTGGTGGGCAGTGCCACATCGGCTATGAGGCAGATCGGGCAGATAGCTCTTGTTTTTTAGTAGAGGTAAATGGGTCACACCTGTCAGGGTCTGCTGACGGAAGAACAAAGCCGTTGGAAACAAACCATGCCCCAAATTGGGGTGTATGTAAGGACATGTGTCCCCTTTTAAAAGATGAGGTGGCAACATCTAGTAATTTTGTCATTCATCGCATGAACTAGCCAACAGTTTCTTTCAAAATGGGCCAACAAGAAAAAAGGAAAAGCCCAACGTCACAAGACTTCTATGATGAAAAATCGGGTCATCACAAGTTTTGCGATAACGGAATCTCATCTTTCAATCCTTTAGACCAGCAGCTGTTTATAAGCTCCAAAGCTAAAAAGAGAAAACCAAATTATCTGATGCCCAACCTCAAAGAGAAATTGGGGGAAGGAAAAGGGGTAAAGTGGAACAAGAAGAACTAATTTCAAAGAAAAGACATAAGAGTTTTGATGCCAAGCTTGAAAAAACAATTCCAACTGACAACAAACAAGGATGGAAACAAGGATGTGAAGTTCTTTTTGCTGAAAACTCACCTAATTTGGAGAGCAGTGAAAGCAAGGGTCCGGTTACAAAGCGAGGTAAGTGTTACTATTTACCTGAAGTGCAAAGAAAAATTGCAAAAGTTGTGGTCTTGCCTATAAAAAGAATGTAAGCATGCAATTGTATACAGGAAGGTGGCCACAAAGGTTTTGTCCATTGTAAATATGAACGTTTTTTGGTGGTTGAACCAAATCAACCACCCAAGTAGCCATGAGAGTACTAGGGGACTTAATAGTTCACATGAAGTACAAACCCTGGAAAAATTAGTTAAGTTTTATAAGCCTGATATATTATTTTTGCAAGAGAAGCTATCATGAAGCTGCACGACCTAAACATGGAATTTAATACAGGAAGTGATCGACTTGTGTGGAAGCCATCATCAACTGGCGGTTTTTCAGTTTTTTTGGCCTATTAAGAAGTATGCCAAAACAAAGAAGAAGTTTCCTTTATTTGCAATTGTTAGAACAAATTAATTCCTTTAAAAATCTCAATTTTTATGTGGAAAATTTTTAATAAATTTTTGCCTTTCCCTAAAGTATTTCAGAACCTAGGCATCACATCAAGACCTTCAAGGTGTCACTTCGGTTGTGTTGAAGAAGAAAATATTGACCATATTTTCTTTGATTGCATAAAGGTAAAACAAATATGGAAATCTTTCGCATCATAATACGAGGGTTGGATGCATTCTTCACTCCTTCAATGATGCATGAAAGAAAGAAGTATTTGCATCTCCTTCTTGCAGCCATTTAACCCTCATTTTCTGAGCCCAAAAATCCTCATGTTCCTTTAACTTTCTAAGCAGAGTAGCTTTCACTTCATTCAGCAACATTCTATCATTTTCCAACTCCGAAGAATCATACAAACCCTCCAGCCGTTGGACATTGGATTCCACCTCTTTCAAGTTTGCAAAGACATCACCAAAGACTTCCTTATTCCATATTTTCAATTTAGCATTCAATTGTCTGAGCTTGAGAGAGAAACCAATCATTCCAAACTAAGTTAAAGGCTGCACCCAACATTCCTTCACAACAATTTTAAAGTCATCTCTCCGCACCCACATATTTTGGAAGTGAAAAACTCTAGGCTTGCATTTGAAGGCGTAATAAGGTGCAAAATAGGGGAATGATCTGAGGAGGTGCAACTTAAGTTCTCAACAAAAGAGGAGGGAAAGAAATCATGCCATTCCTTTGTAAATAGAACCCTATCCAACTTTTTACAAACCCAACCCATACATCTTGTTCCACCCCATATAAATTCCTCTCCAATTGGCAACATTTCCATCAATCCACAAGTTTCTATACATTCATTAAACTTTGTTATTGCTAATTGATCTTGAACTGAAGAACCCGAATATTCATCCAATGACCGAATAACACTAAAGTCCCTCCTATAACCCAAGGTGAGTCAATGTATTGTTGCCTAAAATCCACCATACTTTAACATAGTTCTTGTCTTCCCAATCTACTAGATTTGGCACACACGGCTGAAAAATAAAATTTGCTGGGGACCAAACCATGTGTTACCTCAGAATGTAAAATTTGATCATTACCTTCAAGCAAGGAGACCGAGAAGTCATTCTGACAAAATACCCATATCTTACTGTTTTCAGACGAAAAAGCCAAATCAAAACCTAGCTCTCGCCTTATTTCATCAATTTTTTTTTACTAACATTGGCTCCATAATCATCAAAAGAGAAACCTTATACATTTTCACCAAGGATTTCAACCGGTGTTGCAAGGCTTGGTTTCGAATGCCTCGAATATTCCATATCAAATGACCTATCATTGAAAAATATTGGAAAGGAGAACCAGAATTATTGTAACATCGACAACCCCCACGGGATTATTCCATCCAGGGAGATTGCCTTCTCAGCCTTTGATTTGCGACCCCGCTTCTTTTTAGGAGAAACTAACCTTTGCGCTGTATCTTTCGTACTGGAATCAATGTCATCAGCATTCCCTTCAAACAAGCTACCATGATCATCATCTCCCAGCACCAGTCCTTCTGTGGCATTGTAGGAACATCAACGACCAAAGTAGGGTTTCCAACTTCAACCGCAACCGATTGCAGAAGAATTTGTTCAACTTGTGGAAGAGGATCCTCCTGATGCACAAGCTCCTCTTCTTCATCATCATGACTCTCCAATAATACAAAATGATTTTCAACGAAATTAGACACTAACGCCGCAGCATCAGTTGTCAACATTGCGCCCCCAGCCTCAGTCGTGATTTTCGCACCCTCAGTCACAACCAGCACCTCCGTCATCGTTGCAACCAGCACCTCCGCTTCTTTTCCTGTCTTCATCTGGGTTTCTACCTCCATTGTAACTTTCTCAGTCTCAAGATCAATCACATTAGCTGCCACATTTGTCATTAGAACATTCGCTCTAGCATCAGTCGTAACCAGTGACTTAGTCGCAACCCACGAATCAGCTGCAGCAATTGCAACTTGCGACTCAGTCAGAATCCACGACTCAGTTTCTACATGTGCGCTCTTCATCGGGGAATCTTGAACATCCACAGGGAAGGCCACCTTCTCCTTCTCCGATAGCCCTGAAGAGGATGCTTTGCCCTTAGCTTCCATCGACTTCAGCCCTAAATTAGGGTTTTTTTGTTTCTTCAAAATTGCTTTTTGCAGAACCTCTTTGGATACAGGCTTGAGTTTATTTATCTCCATTGAAATTTTTGCCAAACGTTTCTTGCAATCATCCACCTTATGGCCAATCTTGCTACACTTTGAACAATAAGCCGGAACGTGCTCATAAGTGAAGAGTTGTTCATGATTCTTGCCTCTCTTACCTATCTTTATCGATTTTGGGAGTTCTTTCAATAAATCAACCTCGACACAACGACGGAGGGTCTCGTAAGGTTTAAGGTCGGCGCATCCACTTTGAGGGGTTTTCCAATTACCATAGCCATGGAGAAGATGACTTCCGGGTTTAGAAACTCAATTGGGAGGTCTAAAAGAGACACCCAAATAGGAACAATCAGTGGATCCTCTTCGAACTTGAATCCTGACTTCTATTTGAGAATCCGCATCGAAAATCTAGCTATGTTCCAAAAGATCCGCATCAAACAATGTTGGTAATCATCTTCCCTTTCGAAACGTATAAGTACATGCCTAGGTTTCATCAAACCTAGGGTATATGATCCGTCAAAACCAATCTTTTTGAATTCCTTATGGATATCTTCCATTTTTGGCCTTCTGTAGGAAAAATTCCTTACCAAACTCATTTGATGGGGGGGCTATGAGGCGTTCATACTCCTCATCTTCATATTCAAGAATGGCGGTGCCATTTACAAAGGTGACTGGCTTAATAAGCAATCCCTTTTGAGGTTTATCAGTGGAAGGTTTGTTGAATAAGCTTGCAAATGGGGGAAGCCCAGTCCCCAGTGGGATTTCCGACCATGGAAGACGGCTGGATATAGATAGGGTTCAGTCAAGTCGTGCGCCAGAGAGAGATAGAGAGGCTCAGGGAGTGACTCAAATTATACTTTTTGTTCATTTCTTATTGATGCATTTGAGATACTTTTTTATTAAAGCTCAAACTTTGATTCTTTGTTTGCGCTGGAGGTTTTTTTCCCCTTTTGTTACAAGCATGATTTTTCTTTTTTGGTACTACATGTTCTATATTGGGCTATAATTTCTTTTTGGTTTAAAATAATGCAGAAAAGAACCAAACTTATACTTCAAATTTCTAATAAACTAGAAAGACTCAATCGATAGCCCAAATCACCAAATTGGTCTGACTAACCATTGAATGCGAGTTTATTTAGTGGATTCAACTTTCAGACCCGAAATTTGATTTCTCAGGCATATTGAAATCCAATACTGAACTGTTGCACAACTTGAATGGAAATTAATTTAGTTTGATGGAGGTAGATTGTTTGGTAAAGTTTTAGTTTGAGAAGAGAAGTGATTGCACTGATTGTAGTATTGAAGATGACGAAGGAAAATTTTGGGGACCAAGATTGGGTTATTGGAATCCTTATAATTATGTTCGAAAATACAAAAAATATAAATATATATATGGGGATTAAAAAAAGAAGAGTCATATGGTCAATATTGAATTGACATTTAAACATTGACTACTATTAGCTTGACAAAAATAAGTTAGATTGGTCCAACCCAAAGCCCGCACAAATGACTCATTTGTCTGCTCTAGTTTATTTTTAATAGTCATTTGATGGTTATGTTTTCACACTTGTTAAACAATAAATGTTTTGTTTTTATTCACATTTATATATATATTTTTTTTAACTTTTGTTTTATGATAGTTTTAGTGAGGCATTTTACTAATATATAAGGATCTTGAAATATTATCCTTGACAAATGAGTATAAGGATCTTAGTGAAGTTTTTAAAAAAAAAAAAAAAACCAAGAAAGGTTAGGACAATTTTCAAGTTCCAACTGACCCAAAAAAACTCTAGGGGTATATCCAATAGGTATGTTTTGAGCCAGCCAGTGCTAGATAGTACAATGCACCCAAGGGATGAACATATGTACTATCTAGTTCCCTAGTATCATCCCTTCCCGAATTTATTGCATTTCAAGCAAAATGATGCCAACGCAGAGTATGATCTAACCCAGGCTTTTACAATAAATCTTTCTCATTCTTAAAAGTCTAGCCCTATACAAGAGACTACTATTTTTAATTACGAAAATAAGGAAAGGAATGTTAATCTAAAATCAGTAGCCCTTTTACAAAGCTAGAAAGAGAAGAAAAAGACAGAAAAACTTTTGAGACTCCCGTTGCTGCCTCCTTCGCCAACCAATCTGCAACTGGATTCCCTTCTCTATATATATGCATACTAGAGTACTCATTGCGCCTTAAAATAGTAACTATCTCTTCCATTTCAAAAAAGTACCTCAAAGGAAAACATATTTGCTTGGTGAGAGCTTCTAAAAGTACCTTGTTATCCGTCTTAACAACAACATTAAGAAGCTTTAAAAGCTCATATCTATATAGCCCAAATAAAATTTCATCAACTTCCGATTTAAAACTATCACCATCCCCCAAGAAACCACATTCCTCATACACAAAAGTTCCACCTTCACCACGAATCACAAAACCATAACCAGCCCCATTGATGCATGAAGAACCATCCGAGCTCAAGATACATGAATTTGGTCCTGGCGGAATCCATCTCACCATCTGCGACCTTCTTTGAGAAAACCGGGATAATTGCAATTCAAAGAGGCTAGCAATGAAGTTTTTTTCAGCCTCATTACTAACTTTTACTAACTTTTAGATCATGTGCGACTAGGAGATCCCAGCCATTCTCCATAATAGAGTGTATTACAACAACACAAAGCAGGCTTAGTTTCCTCAAAAAACATTTTATTCCTCACCTTCCAAATCTCCCAAATAACAAATACAGGAAAAAATTTAAACAAAGCTCCTTTAGCTAAAGTAAAAGAACCCCTCTCCCACCATCTTTTAAGCATTCAAACAAGATTCATAAAACCCCCTACTCCAACATCCATTATAGAAGCAAAATGGCCCCATATAGATCTTGCAAAATCACAACTATAGAAACAATGACCAATACTTTCCGACTCCCGACCACATAGACAACATATAGAAGGATAGATCATCATACCAAAGCTACATAAAATCTCAGGAAAAGGAATCAAGCCATTACGTAATTTCTATAAGAAAAAGGATCTTAGTGAAGTTGTCTGTACTTTTAAAACAAATCTTTATAACTTATATAAATTAAAATTGATTCAAGTTGAAGTATATCCTTACAATTGTTGTCCTCTTTTTAATTGAATTTGAATTTTTTTAAATTATCACTAAAAAAGAAAGGTCAGTATCAGGAGTTTTGATAGTGGTCCAACTAAGAAAAATGTTATTCTTATTGTTTCCTTTTTCCTTGATATCCATCTTGGTGCACCTTTTTATAATAAATAGATGTTAAATTATTAATTTGATGTACCATTTCAAGAAATTTCACTATCACATATATTTTGTATTGTAGACTACAATATATGTTGTCACCTGGTTTTTCCCAAACAAACTCTCCATTATACAATAATGTTAAAAACTCAACGTGTTGTGTGACGAAACAATAATGATGAGACACTTAATGTTAGTGAAGAATTAACAAATAATGATCATTAATATCTTACGCCTAACTTTTTCAAGTGTTTTGATTCTTGAGACATAACTTGTGAGTAAATTTTGAATTATTAAAGTGTTCAATATTTTAATTTTTGGATTGCTTGGACTTGAATTTTCTCATATCAAACGTTCCAGTGTAAAGTATTGTTAAAAGTCAACATTTCGTGTGATGGAAAATTAGTTGGTAAACTCTTAAAATTAGAGGAAAACTAACCAGTATCAATCTTTAAAATTGTATAACTAACTATGTATTTCAAATTTCTGGTGTTTTTCATCCATTGTATAATCCCTAAACTTATGTAAGAACCATTTTAGTTTAATACTTTGACGTGAATCGTATAAGGAACATGATATGCATAGTGAAAAAATAGTGAAAAAAGATAATGCGTACTATGGTGTATTCTTAGCCCCAAGTTTTTTGCCTCTTTCCCGTTAAAATTTTATTTTGTCCTAAACTTACATTTTTACCCTTAATTAATAAGTACACATATTTAATGAGGATGGTGAATTTATTTTTTCATTAGTCACTATTCCAGTTTATATCTTAAGTACAAGTTAAAGATGGGATACCAAGGAATGCCAACGATGGTAAGTAAGATCGTGCAGTGTGTTACCTTTTTCTAAAAAATATATGAATATCTTAATGGAATTAATGTAATTAATGATCGCTGAGGCATATTTACTGTAGTTAAATAGCAATTATTTAGTTAAATAATAAATGTAGTATTTCATTTAAATCAAAAGCGGATTTGATATTTCGGGCCTTTTATAGGAATTTATGGTGGCTTATAAGTTATTTGAAACAAAATGCAATGGGATTATTTTCGCTCTTAAATATTACTTGTTCTTCAGATCTTTTATAGGATTTTTTTTTTTTTTTGCTTAGCTTCAAATGTTGATTGCACTTTAAAAATATCAACAAAGTCATCTTATGGGAAATTATATTTATTTACTTCTGATAATCAAATGTTATGCATTATGCTTGAGCTATTTAAAAAATGAATCATTCAAAAGAGAGCCAGAAAAGGGTAAAATGAAAAACAAATGTTTGCACTGGATTATTCATTGAAAGAATGTATCTAGTCAAACATTGAGATAACTGAAAAGTTAGAATTAGGAATCCTTGTTGAACCCATGTTCTCGCTAGATATTGTGCATCTACTCTCATAGTCCTCTTGACTCAGGTTTGAAATTCAAAAAAATAATTTCAATTTGTTACATGCTACTTACTTCACCTATAGTATCAAGTAATTATTTCATATTGTGATATTCTTTCTTTTTCCTTCATAAAATACATGTTGATATTTACATAGCCAAAATTTGTTTCTTTTTTGTTTTATGTCAGTTTTCATAGGGCAAATGTTTCTAGATTTCTCTTTTTAGTGTTTGCATATGTGTGTGTAACACACACACACGCACCCACCCACACACACATACGCATTGAATGACCTTTCACTTTCACAGAAAACAAGCACGCAAGATTTCCTCCCAATTTCTTTTTTGCTATCTTCGATCACTCTAAACCTTAGATTCCCGCAGTATGGCTCCCAAGATCGTCTCCAATCAGAGCCCATCCCCACTCTTTTCGAGACGCCATCTGTCGGCGCTCTCTATGATCTGGCATTTAGCACTTTTGTGATCCGGCATTTGTCAGCGCTGTTGGTCCTAGCGTCTCTTTGTCCTTTCTGTCTAGTACATTTTAATTCAAACTGAAAAAGATGATTGAAAAAAGAGCAAATAAAAAAGAATGAGGAGAAAAGAGACAATATAGAAAGGGGAAGACGTAAAACTATAAAAACATAAAATATTGACGATCTAATACAAAATACAATATATGAATCTAATTTGATAAGAGTTGTTTATACATAGTACATTAGCGAAGATATGCTTCATATAACTGACTTTATCTTGTAGGTTATAAATTTACTATTCTTAAATTATTGAGTTTGTACCAATCTGTTTTATGTATCAAATTGTTACATGATCTCAATCATGGTTGATATTGAAACATTACTATAGAAAGTCGACTTATTGCAACATTTGATCTTGAGACCATTTTTTCCTCAGGAATAATAAATATTTCAACCAACAAAAGCAATATGGATATTAAGCTTCAAGCATCGGGCATACCATATGATATTTCGATTGATATGCTCTCAAATGCATACTTATCTGAGGTAAATGAGTAGTTCATTTGCATTTTGAATGGATCATCATACTTTCATTGTCTTCGTTGCATTTTTTTTAATCTTTCATTCCGTGAAAATCCATCCTCTTTAGCCTTATAAGAAAAATACTAACAAATTTTGTTCAATTAAATTGTTAAAAACTTTTAACTTTTTTCTTTTATTTCTATCTTTGTTAATTTATTGATAACATAATTACTTCGTGATTTATTCTAGGGGTACCAAATAACCCATGGCCCATGTTGTGACCCAACATATCTATTGTGTTGACTTATTTGGTTTGGGTTAAATGAGTCATGAGTCATATGATTTGAGTTATAGATTAAACGAATAATCTTTATGTCTTGGGTTGGGTTGGGTAAGATAAGTAGACTCAGGTGTCGAACGAGTAAATAACATGGATCAGATGGTTAATAATATTTTTCTCCAATTTTCATATACTTTAAACCTTCCACTTCTTCCTTCTTTTTTCCCTCCGATGAACCACCTTTTCCTCCTGTGACTTGAATAACCAACCTAGCTACCCATAAAACCACTCTCCCATCGAAACCCCTCACCATGGGGATGTGAATTGTTATTTTTCTCTTATATCTATTTTCCGAAAGTTGCACAACTTTTGAAACTCAGAAATAAAGAATTTGTGAAGGTTTTGGTAGGCTGTGAACTAGGGATTTTAACGGAATGGTTGAAATCGGAAAATCACTTTGTGCTTTGGTCTCACGCTCATTTTTCAAATTTATTCTAAAACAGACATTTTTGAAAATTAGGAAGAAAAAACGGTTTGTTTTACGGTTTCACATTTAAAACTCGGCATCCAAGCTGGACCAGACCATTAATTTTTTGTATATTTTAACTCATAAACAAGGCTACTACCCTCATTAGTGTGCTTCTTTATAGAACATGTAGTTTGGGTTTGATTCTTTATATTGCCTCTTTTATCTTTGTTCTTTTATATTTATGCTTTTTACAATTTTCTTTTTCAATTTACAATTAAAATGTACCAGAGAAAAAGAAATCCTAGCCTTTCTTTTTCTTTTCTTTACTTCTTCTCTTTGACTTCTCTTCTTACACCACATTTTCCAAATTATATCTAAAATCGTCACATGAAATTGAGAATCCATCATTTGGAAACTGTAGATGTGACCTAAAAAAGATATATGTAGTAGTTCAGAGTTCTGCAAATGCTTAAGATTTCTCTGATTCCCACAATACACAATTCATCCCCCTCTTCCCCAAGTTCAGTTAGGTTTTCTGTTCATTGCTTATGGATGCATTTGAGATATTTATTTATTAAAGTTCAAACTTTGATTCTTTGTTGGTACTGGAGGTTTTTTTTATTTTTTTCCATTTGTTACTAGCAGGGTTCTTCTTTATGGCTCAAATTTCTAATAAAATCGAAACACCCAATTGATAGTCCAAATCACCGATGTTTAGACCAACTGTTGAATGTAGTTTGATTTGGTCCGGGTTCAACTTTCAAACCGGTCCTGTATTGTTTTAAATTTCAAAAATTATCACGATTAGTTCATGGTTTAATATAAAAATAACATCAACTAGATCGTGAACACCAACTAGATCGTGATCTACCACTAGTACAGACTATAAATACTTGTCTCCCCGCAATTTGATTTCTAGGGCATACAATTCAAATCCAATATTGAATAGCTTCATAGATTGAATGAAAATGAATTTAGTTTGATGCAGGTGGATTGTTTGGTGACGTCTCATTTTGAGAAGAGAAGTGGTGATGCTATTGTAGTTTTGAGGATGACGAAGGAAAATTTTGGGACCAACATTAGGTTACTGGAATACTTATAATTATGTTAGAAAATATAAATAAATATATGGAGAGAAAAAAAGAAGAGCCATATGGCCATTATATTGACATTTAACATTGACTAGTGTTAGCTTCACAATAATAAGTTGGATTGGTCCAATCCAAAGCCTACTCAAATGACTCATCTGCCAGCCCCAGTTTTTTCTTAATAGTCATTTCATGGTTTTATTTTCACTTATTAAACCAAAATTTTTTGTTTTTATTCACATTTATACTTTTTTTTTACTTTTTATTTGTGATAGTTATAGTCACCCATTGTACTAGGATATATGGATCTTGAAATATTATCCTTGACAAATCATGAGTGTATCCATGTAATAAAATCTTAGTGAAGTAAGTTTTTTTTTAAAAAAAAAAAAAAGGAACCTTAGTGAAGTTGTCTGCACTTTTTAAATAAAAACCTATCACTTATATAATATTAGGTAATTCTAATACAGGTCATCAATCAAATTTATTTGTATAATAGGTCACCGTACTAAGCAAAAAATTCATCCGAGATCATTTTTTTAATTTTGGCTGTTAAATAGTGACGAAAATCTATTTTTCACATGCTTTTGGGTTCAGGGGTATTTTTGTCATTTTGTTATTTTTAAATTTTTATTTTTAAAAAAAAATTAATATTTTTTTTATTTTTTATTTTTTACAATTCTTCTTCTTATACTTCCTAACATGTATATGCTGGTAGTATAATTCCAAATTTCAAAATATAATTTCAATTTTGTATTTTAACTTCTAGATTATAAATTTTTTTTTCCCTAAGAGAAATTGTTTCCCCTAGGTTATTCTGGGAGTTAAATCGTGACAGAAAGCTATGCCAATCTTTAAAATCGCATAACTAGCTATTTCAAATTTCTTGTGTTTTCCATCTATTGTTTATTTCCAGAACTCATGTACAAACCATTCCAGTTTAATACTTTGACGTGAATCTTATAATTTTCTTTCTTTTAGGTATCTTAAAATTCCTGCTGATTTGTTATTGTCATGGCAGGAGGAGTGTGAACATCTCAAGTACAAGTTAAAGATGGGCTTCCAAGGAATGCCAACAAAGGTAAGTAAGACCATGCTCTGTGTTACCTTTTTCTATAGAATAAATTAATATCTTAATGGAATTGATGTAATTAAGTATCAGTGAAGCATATTTAGTATAGACAAATAGCAGTTATTTAGTTAAATAATAAAGGCAGTATTTCATTTAAAGCAAAAGTAGATTTGATATTTCGGGACTTTTCTAGGAATTTTTGATGGTGTATAAGTTATTTGGGACAAATTGCAATGGAATTATTTTGCGCTCTTTAATATATTTGTTCTAATTTTGCTTAGCTTCAAATGTTCATTGCACATTAAAAATGTCAACAAAGTCATCTTATGGTAAATCCTTTTTACCCTATTAAAGCAGAAGACATGAAACTTATGTGGTAACTACGTATGCATCTATTTTGGCTCCAATGCACCATATTTCAGATTTCAAGAGTCTTTTTGCCACGTATAAGTCTCTTTTAATTAGAAGCTATATAATTTTTTTAAAAAAAAAACACATGTTTTACTACAAATAAGGATCAGTTACATTTCAAACGAATGGATATATTAATTCAAATTCAAATGTCCAATCGTATAGTTTTGCAGGCTTAATATAAACAAAAAATAAAAATACCTAAATCTAACAATTAAGAATAATGCTTTATAAACTAATTATTTATTATTCCCTTATAACTTCAGATTTATAGGTATATTTTTTTAAGCCCCAAACCATAGCATAAATGATATATACGCCAAATTAATTCCTCAAAAAATAGTAATTCAATTAGATTTTAATAAAATAGTAATTTAGAAGGGGCGCCCGGACATCTGCCTGGGCCAAACATCTAGTTATGTTTATTTACTTATCATAATCAAATGTTATGTATTATACTTGAACTATTAAAAAAATGAATCATTAAAAACAGAATCGGAAAAGGGTAAGTTAGAATGACAAACAAATGTTTGCACTGGATTATTCATTGAAAGAGTATATACAACAGTTGATGTTGAGATAAATGAAAAGTTAGAATTAGGAGTTCATACTGAACCCAAATTCTCGCTAAATGTTGTGCATCAACTTCTCATAGTCCTCATGTCCCAGGTTTGAACTTAAAAAAAAAGAATTATATATTTGTTACATGCTATCCACGTCATTTATGGTATGAAGTAATTATTTCATATTGTGATATTTGGTCTTACTTGTGCCTCTTAGGCATGGTAGTTCTCATATTTCTTTTTCCTTCATTATATACATGTGCATATTTTCAAAACAAAAATTTTGTTTCTTTGTTCATTACATGCATACACGCACATACACGCAACACACACATATAGAGTAAAATGAGCTTTCTCTTCCGCAGAAAGAACTTCATCTAAAGGTCATCAGTGTGCATGAGAATTTCATAGATGAGACTCATATGTTTTGATTTCTCTTTTATGTGTGTTCTACGAATGTGTTTCAAGTTATTGTTCTTTTCTTTTTCTTTTTTTTTTTCTGCAGGATTCAACAATGATCCTTTCGCAGGACAATATTTCATAGGATAATTATTGTTCATTTCACAAATTTGCTTCCAGATCTCTTTTTTTTGGGGGGTCCCAGGAAATGCTATTATTTTGAATCATGCCCATTGACCTTAACCATACTCACATGCTTGGTTGTAGCCAAGAAAAGGGAGCAACTAGCATCACAAGCTGTAAGAACGCAGCTACATAATAGCTTTTTGAAGACTCTGCAGTATCCTCAATAGTTAATAAAGGTAATCACAATTCAAGGCTTAATCTTTCTTGTTGAATGCTGTTATCAAGTTATCACCGCCATTTTTATTTATATGTATGGTGCTATTGAAAAATAGATTACAGTCGTTGATGCCCCTTACCATCAATTAGATAGTGTTTTTCATGTGGATTTACATTTAATTTGTCATGTGACATTAATGGTCAAGGATAACAAAAGAAGTATATGAAGGCTTTCTCCAATCTCAAAATCCATAGAGTTTAAGGGTCGTACTTTGTCTATATGCTAAGTATTCCTAGACTTTTCCTGTTAAGTCTTTCGAAATGAAACTCTATCTATACTCATAATGTGCAAATGCCATCAATCTCTTTAACAGTTTCATGTTGGATTTCTTTTATTTCAAACAAACTGATCATCCATTTGCCTCTGGGCTATCAGAAAAGGAGATGCCTAAAGAAAAGATAAAAGATCCGTCGACGCAAATATCTCTCATTGAAAAGAACTCTGGAGAGAAGACCGGTGGATCTTCTGTCGAATTGCTGAAGGAAGCTGAGAAAAAAAGCACGAAAGACACGACAGCTGAGCACGAAAAGCTTCATATTGAACTTGAAGAAGAAAGGAAAAAGCGCAGTTTGGGAGAAGCTGAGTTAAAAAACTTGAAGCAAAAGATGGAAGAGGAAGCTAAACTAAGTGCCACCAGAATACGCCAGCTAGAGGAAGATGCTCCAGCACGCAAAGCCCGAATCGGCGAAATGGAGCGCGAAGCCGAAATGCAAACAGCAAAGATGAAAAAGATGAAAGAGGACTCGCAACTGAATGACAACAAAGTAACAATGCTGGAGGAGGAGTTGCTGTTGAAAATCGTAGGAATTGGAGAGATGGAAGAAAAGATGGAAGAGGATGGCCAAGAGGCAAACAAGATGGAAAGCCATATTCGATCAGCTTCAAAGACGATTGAAGGTTTGAGTTCGGATATAACCAAGATGCAAGAGTATAATATCCGGAAAATGGAGGAGGCCGAAATTCGCAAACGCATGGAGGTGGAAAACGCCAGGAATGAAAGGATATCGAAGAGGTAGTTTCGCTGTATAAGAAATCAATAGCTTTTGTGGATGACTTGTTGAAGGTGTGTGGGCCGGTCTACGCCGCGGGTTGGACGGATGGGTTGAACAAGGTGAAAGAGAGGGTCCTCCCGGGTTTGAACCTCCATAACTTCAAATATTCCCATGCTAATTACTGGCAGGTCGCGGAGGATACGCTGAACTACGTCGTCAACTCGCGCGTCGAGTCGGAACGCTTTTTTAAAAAAGCCAACTGTTTGAAACTTCGGCCTAACTCCGGCACTGCAGATCTCTAGAGTCGAGAAGGAAGAGAGATACGGAACTGCATGTTTTCATTGCTTCTGGAACCTTGGATGCTGTGTGCTTGCTTGCCTTTAGCAAGTAAAAAAAAAATTGTTGTAACCATTTACATTTCAAGTTTGGGGTGGCTGCTTTTATGTTTACGTGTGTTAAACTTATTTCGAAGAGTCCAAGTCGAGTCATTCTGGGTTTTTCATCGAACAAAATGATATTGCCTTTCAGAGAAAGCGCTTCATTTTATGATATACTTAAATTGCTGACATTATGAAAGCATAATTTTGTTTTTTTTTTAAGTCTTCATTTGGTGCTTTTACTGTGCATTCATAATTCATTCAACAAGTCATAGAAGTTAGATTTACTCTTCCTTTTGCCGACACTGGCAGCATATTACCAGGCCTTGATCAAGTTCCGTTTCTCTGGAATGATTTGAAGTTCCTGAAATCCAATTTTCTTTCATTTCAGGCTTTTTTTTTTTTTTTTTTTGAGCCTCTGCAAATGCTCTCTATCCAGCCTTTCCATTACTTTGTCCTACCTCTTTCCGCTATTGGACAATGTGGAAGTGGTTTCCACTTTCCAGAATATGGGATTTCATACATTTCCATGGTGGTGAAATGGTTACATGGGCTTCTGAGACTTGTTTACTCCCATCTTATCTGATTTTGAAAATCTCCCAACAAAAGCCAAGGAAGCGAGTAAAAAAGCAGAAGACAGATTTTTCCATTTCGTTCTGAAATCTGAATCCTTAACCTTGGATTCGAATCGGTTTGCCCCATAGAGTTATCAGTAACGGACTCAACCTTTAATTGTCCGGTCAAACTATGTTTAAACAATTTTTTTTTTATTTATTTAACCTTTGTTCTCACTTTTCTTTTTTTCGCTTACTTCGTTCATCAGATGAGATCAGTTATGATGTTGATTTGAACTATGAACGGGTCTTATTCTTTGCTTTGTTATTCTCCAAGTGCATCTTGAATTGAAGCAATGTTAAATAATCCTTAATCTTATTGTAGCAATAAATAAATAAATAAGTAAATAAATAAATAAATAAATTGCAAGTTTCCTATTGTAGCAATGTTAGAATCACTGAAATGATCCTTAATCTTTTATCTGATAGATTTAAATAATTAGTTGTATATTTCTTTCATTTCACAGTGATTATCCTCTATGATAAGGTGGTGTGCATCGAGGGGAAAAAAGAACTCCCGAGTACATTTGCAAAGTTATGAGACACCATATATGATGCGCAAAAGTCCAAACCAAATTAAAGACAAAAAAAAAGGCGCAAGGAGTAAGGTTTAAATTAGTAAAAGTGGAAGTTTACTTTATGTTTATTTTTCTTGGTCTTTAGGTCCGTGTGGTGACTTGACTTTGAGCGTAATAAGCCAATAGCTGCTGATTAAGCTTTAATGTCATGTCACTCTACTCTAGTTGTCTTCCGAAGTGTCGTTTCCTAGTATCCTAAATTTCCAAGATCTTGACTTTGACTCTGCCTCTTTTCTAATTTTCATTTATTTCTTCCTTCGAATTTGCATTAAAAACGAACGGGAGTAATCTTCTAACATTTGACTATTTCAAGTGCTTTGATCGAGTCATGAAGTTTCTCAGAAAATTAGTATTCTTTACGAAGTTAAGCTCTGAAGTCTTTGTTTTTGGAACGAAGTTTGTTCATATATATAATATAATAGACATAGACCATTGCTGATCAGGTGCAATTGGCGTCAACATGATAAACACCAACGCCAATCTACCATTTTATTTATTTATTTTTTTGGGTTAAAGGGCTAGATAAAAATATGGGAAAATATTCTTTTTTTTAGTGTAGAAAAGGTGAAAATATTCTTAACAGTCCTAGGGTATGATACTTCAATAATATTATGTTCTTACCATAATTTGACTGGTGGAGGATATTCAAACCAAAACAAATCACCGGATCCATCCGTCGCCCAAAAATATTCTCTCTTTATATTAGAGTCAATGCCTTAAATCATGAAATCATTACGTTATATTTTATGGATGAGAATCTCTTACCCAATCTAACTATCTAACCACCATTTTCAATTCTAATGGTGCATCGTTTAGTTTATGGAATCCTCAATCACAAGTAGTGGTCGAAAAAACTAGATACTTCTCCTTAGATACTTCTCCTTTTGTCTCAAAATTATTTTCTAGTATGTATTTTTAGTTTTAATATAATTTAAACCAAAAATAAAAATTCAAAATGAACAATAGTTTTGGGAAAGAGTATATGATAACTATAATTATCTACAGAAATCACGTCGTGCTTGATCTCCATTACCTATTGTCTTTTTATAAGAAATCCTTTACAGCCGTGACTCAGTTATGTATGTCTGGTTGTATGCACAAAACTTTTTCTAAATTTGGAGCAAAATATTGGTTTTTTGTACAATAATTTCTTTTTTGATAAATAATTTGTACAGTCGTTTTGTTACTACCTCTAATTTTAGAGAAAATTTTGATAGTTTGTCCAACTAAGAAAAATATTGTTTTTCTTGTGACAAATAGTGCATAGAAAAATGAATGGCAAGTTGTAGTGAATCAACTTAAACAGTAGTTGGCAGATTTTCAAGTAAATTGTTCAAACAACCATGACCCTACAACTCTGTTCACCAAAACATATCGATTAAATGAGATCTTCTTTACATACAAGTGCTGCAATTTTTCCGTCTCAAAAACAAAATAAGGCAATTATTTTGGGATGAGAGATTTCTCAGATAAATGAAATGTTGCAAAATGTTATACATACTGAAGGAGAAATGGCATTGTACACACAAAAAAATATGTCTAGGCCTGAAATTCAGGGGAACTCTGGAGATATCTGCACAAGAACTCTTTTACAGAGTTTCAGAACAGAACAGCACATAACAGAGAACAATGGCTGAAGTAGTGAACTAAGTACTGAAAGTACTGAACGAAGGAATCAAAAAACTAGGAATCCAACCTTACGGAATTCTAGCAATTGAACAGGACAAAGCATCTACCCTCTGAATCTGAAAACTTCCTCATATCCACAAGAACTATCTCTAAATCTCTGGTTAACTTTCTTCACTTCCAAAACTTCAATCGAAAATCACAATTCTGACTTCTCCGTCATCATCATCCTCTTCATCATTACCGGACAGCAATGGATCAGCCTCACCATACAGAAATTTATTAGCCTGTGAATCATCACACTTTGAACCGAATTGATCATCAACCTTTGAGTAATCACTGGACAGCAGTTTATAGTCTTTATTAGCAGTACCGAACAGGAATTGATCAATCTTTGTTGGACCACCGGAGAAGTATTGGTCGGCCTTTCTAGCATCACCGGAGAAGTAATCATCAACCTCTGTAGCACTGCCTTGGAAGGATTTATCAGCTTTTGTAAAACCAGCGGAGAAGTATCTGTCAAACTTTGCAGAATCGCCGCCGAAGAATTTACCAGCCTCTGTAGCATCGCCAGAGAAGGATTTAGCACCACCGGAGAAGAATTGAACCTCCCCTGTTTCTTCCCCGAACAGAAATCGTCGTTGTGATCTCCTCACCAAATTCGAAACCCTCTCCGCAAACACATCCCTTCTCTCCCTCCATTCAATCGCGGCATCCACATTTGCCGCCGCCTCGTCGTTCGGTTCCCAAAGAAGAGAAATCACACCCAACAAAATCGTTTCCACCGTATGAACCGGTAACCACCGCTCGCCGGCAAGTTCGTAACCGTATGGGTCATCGCCGGGAGGGCTGAGAGTCGACATACACACCGTTCCGTCGGGGTACACGTTCGGGTGCCACATCTCCGAGGTGAACTTAACCGTCGGAGGGTTGTTGGGATAGTCGCCGGTGAACTCAATCTTGGCCTGAAAAAATCCGCCCTCATAAATTGTGCCCTCAAGGCCGAAGATTATCACGTCCCACTCCAATGGATTGCTCTGATCAACTAATCCGGCCGAGAAGAAATCCGTAGGGTAAAAAGAGAGCTCCTTTGCTTGTTTCCGGAGGAGAAGGTCTGCTAGCGATGTAGCCATTTTTTCCGCAATCTTGAACACAATTCGAGAAATTCAACTTGAATTGCAGGAAAGAAATTAAAACCCAACTCAAATCTTGCAGGAAAACAGAGTTCAATTCAACTTTATATAAAGATTTCTTGATCGGAGGCAGTAGTCAACCGTAGGAAGAAAACTGAGCGGACAGAAAGTCGCGAGGAAGAAGGTGAGTTTTTTTTTTTTTTGCTTCCTCTTTTCTGGGCCCCGAAGAAATTTGCCCTGGGTTTTATTGTAAAGATCGATCATAATCGCTATAAAATTGTCTCGTTCTTTAAGCGTTTTGATCACTCCATTGTAATATTATAATGATAAAAATTGTAATTATCAAATTTATTTACCGAATTTTATTTTAGGTATTAAATGTAGATACTTGCCCTGCAAGAAAATGGAATTTCAAGTGAACTTCCTAATATCATTGCAACGGCTAAAATCAATCAGGTATCATAATCCTTTCCATGTATTTTCGAATTTCTCGAATTATTCGTCTTTTTTTGCTTTATCTAATTCTTTCATAAAAAGAAATTATTTCATCTAACTACTGATTCTTTTTCTTCAAAGAAAATAATAATCCGTCCGTCCTTTCCTGTTGGCTCTCAAAAAGCCTTTCTGTTTTAACTTCTACGTTGAAATCGTTGTGTATTTTAACCTTAAGCCATGGAAATATATACTGGAATGAGACAATAGAGACAACTTTCAGTGAGAAAGTCCGAAGAAACATTTGAGACAAAAAAAAAAATTTATGACTCAAAAAGAGAGACAATTAATTTTAAAATTGAACTCAATTTCATTTTCATTTTGAATCGGTACATATTTGGTGCATTGATATTAATCCTCCAGTTTCAACTCACAAGCAAACTAAGGAATCTCAGTTTATTTCTTTTTGGAAGAATTTATTTTTCTTTTTTCTTTTTTTTTTCTTTAATAAACAAACTCAATGATATATGTCATATGTTGATGGAATTGTAATCAACATTTTATTTAATAACATTATTTGTAAGAACAGTAAAATTTTAAATACGACAATTATTTTGAGACTAGTTCAATTGAACAAAGATTTGAAGTGGTAATTGAATATTTGGGAGTAATTATACACACGTCACTTAATTCATCTCATCATTGTATCTCACTTTACATGATATTTAATTATTGGATAAAATCAAATAAGTTTTTTTTGTTAGATTTATTGACTTTTTGGCTATTTTTATTTTCAGAAATTTAAAATAATAGCCACTAATTCCCAAAATAAACCTTTAAGGGAAAAATTATTATATTGTAAATGATTTATCAGTCAAGCCAATATTGATAAAAATATATATATATATAATATTTATATTAAATTATTTAGATGTAAAGTAACAAGTGGTGCATCAAATGTAATTCATTATCCAAATAATTAAAATGTAAATTAAAATATAACAATGAGATAAATTTGATGAGATGATTATCATTAAAGTTTGTGAACAACGTAATCGCAATTTATTTGTGTGGGCTTTAACATCGGGCTAGTATCCGTCGATTCTAGCTAAACTTGCAATCCAGTCGCAATCCCACTAAATAAATCTCCAATTTATTTTATCATCAAAAGATTTCAGTTCAAAGTTTTAAGAAATTATAATTTTGGCCCTACCAAAAACATGTTTCATTCTGCTCCTGTATTCTAGAATTCTTGGCATTGTGGTATGATGGCTCCACTTTATTTTAGTATTCTTTCCATTTCAAAATTAATTTACACTTAGAGATAAATAAACAGTTGAAAAACAACGCCTTGAACAAGATCAACATTAGTGTTTAGCCCCCATTAAGTTTCTTCAAGTTACTTTTTGGTAACTCAAGTGTGAGTTTGCTTATAAACATTTTCTTTTTATCTTGTTTCTTTTAAATTTTCACTTCGATTACTTTTTTTGGTTTTTTTTTTTTGGGAAAATTTTGATTGAGAGCATAGGAAAGTTTTTATTTATTATGAAGGCACGGATATTCTTTATCATTATTTCCTCTGTCTAAAAAAAGTTCACATTGAATTTTAAAATTTGTATTAAAAAGTTGATAAAGATATGACTCATTTCCAACTGTAGTAATTATTTACGCGGATGTATTATTGATTTCCAACTCCTTGACAAGCTAGAAACCAACCATTTTCTCTGTTCCTTGAGCCCAGCAATTTCTAGTGTCCAAGTTGATAAATCCAAACTATAAGCCCAAACATGTCCTAATTTCATGCTGCCTCCATCCAAAAAAAAAAAAATAATCTACATTGAAATTTCAAATTTAAATTAAAAATATTATAAAATTTAAAACTCAGGACTATTTTTGTTGGACGGAAGGAGTATAAAATAGTAATACCACTCCACTGGGTGCGTTCATCCACCCAAAGTCACAGGAAACCGAGAGTACCCCATTTCAGCTAAAAAAGAGTTTAAAATGCAACTTTACCATGAACCAAAACTTAGCCCATTACTTAAGTCCGTCCATCGTTTTCCTCCCCCCCACCAAGTACTAAAGGTTAACAATTCTGGGTTTATTGTGTAAACGTGTACAGCTAAAATGGCTGCTACAGCTTACCTCTCAACTAAATCTGACTTAGTATGTAGAACAATATCACTACAGAAAAAAAACACGATCCATATATTTTTGTCCTGAAAAAATAATTCCTATTGAGTTTTTAAAATTTATATTATTTTAATACAAATCTGAAAATAAATGTGAATTACTGATTTTTAGAACAGAACGAATATAACGTTGTTATCATTAGTGTTTGAAACATAAAACCTCTGAAAAACTCACGAGAATTGCAGCATTTGACCTGAGACTGGAATCATTGATTACGAATGACCAACCTTTAGGTTTTCGTTAAGAGTTGATTAATTCTAAATTAAATTGCCAATACTCTATATTGTCTTTTTTACTATTTCTGTTTCAAAAAAGATAATCCACATTGAGTTTTGCAATTTATAAAACTCAAAAATTGCAAAACTCAAATGTGGATTAATTTTTTTTTTTTTCGGTCAGAGCGAGTAACTTCTAAGGACTTGATCTAAGAGAATCGGACCAATGAAGTTCCGCAGGTATCCATCTCTATATGCTATGTCATGTCAACACTCCAATATTGAGGGGGCTTTATTTCCCCTTTCAAATATAATTCTGTCAGAGTTTTTGTTCTGCCTAACTCCTATAATCAAACAGTTCAGTGTTAAATCACGCACTTTTGCTAATCCAATCATCACCTTGAATGAAGTTTCCAACAGTATACACATTAACATGTTCTTCAGGAATTTGGCTACTCCAAGGCACACGACCAGCTAAATCAGCACCAGGTCCTCCATTCCCGAATTCGCCATAATAAAGAGTCGCCAAAGCGAATTCGCCGCTCCAGGGCATCCATCCCTGAGAAGAAAGGAGAGATCCCAAACTCGAATTTATGTAAACGGTCCTGGAATATTCCTTCCAGGGCCGGCCGAGGAAATTCCGATGGATTCCGGGCTTGCTGTTGTACAACACCATGTACTCTTCCGTACCATTGACCACACAGTTGTAGAAAACGAAACCCGTCGACTGACACGCGTCCGTCCTGGATTGGGCTGTCACGGCGTTGGTTTCTCCGGCTTCGGGTTTGGCCTGGCGAGGAACCACTAGGATGGTGCAGTCTTGAAAGAAGGCCGCCGCATTGCCGAAGATGAAGTCGACGTTTCCCTGGATTCGACAGGATTTGTAGTATTGCCGGAGGGAATGTGCGTACAGTGTGTCTTGATTGCCGAGGAATTCGCAGTTTTCGATCACCGAGAGATCGGATTGTGATCGGAATGCTACTGCTTGGGAAGTCGGTGGCCCTGCTGTGTTCTGGAAAGTGATGTTGCTCGCCATGAATCCGTCCCCCACGACCCCTGCATTATTAGTTGAGATTTCATACATAAGAAAGCCTAATTTTGACATCAGTTAGAACACTTCGTTTCAGAAAAATAATTTTTTTATTATATCGAATTTTTATTTGTATAATAAAGTTTTTAGTTTAACAAAAGAGGCATTTCAAAAGATTAAATAGATTGATATGAATTAATAGAATCCGGATGAAATAATAACCTTACAAATACAAAAAAACATTGTTTTATCTTTAATTACAACGAGATAAAAATTTTGTGATAACAAACTAGCCAGATGCTACACCAACATTTTATATCTTGAACTGAAATTAGAGATTATAATTGTATTAAAATTATTGTCCAATTTTTAGATTTTTACTTTTCATTCATTTTGTACTAAAAATTAAAAAAAAAAATCCAAACTACATTATAATTTTAAGACGAAAGAGCACAAAGTTTTTGTGAGGAACTTTTTGTGGATGTCCAAAGTTGGACGAAACTGAACTTCTTTTTAGTACTTAGAAAATAGGAGAGATTCGATTGACCTCTGAACATCCCGAGGTTAAGGACATTTGAATGACATTGACAAAGTTTAAAAGGTCATTTCGAACATATTCAACACGAGCACTGAAAACTTATACGGAGTATCGTGGCAATTCCCGCTGGAAATATAAATACATAGTACGAAAGAATGTTAACGAAATATTTAATTGCTCTGCGACTCTGCGCTTGTAAAATGCAAAAATCACAGAAGTCTGACCCACTGTCAGGTATATATTAATTTACTTTCTGCTGAATTTATTAGAATCATTCACTAAAAATTCTGCTAAACACCAGAAAGCTATAGATAGACTTTATGATGCCTCGTGTAACAATTTTTTTTAACCGACTAATATTTACTCTTGAATAATAATTACTCCATCTTAATGGTCCACATTACTATATGATATTCTCTCGGTCCTAAAATTTTTGTCCAATTTAGAATTTTATTTTAATATAAATTGAACTAAAAGTGAAAACCCAATCTGAACAATAATTTTAGAACGGAAGGAGTCCTAGTTTAATGTACGTAACATAACTAGGAATGTGCACTGGTCATGAGAATCAATTATGTATTCACCTAATACTACTAAATCAGTCAAAATCACTGCATTCCTTATCACTATCAAAGACATCACTAATACATAATTAAATTCCCACACCCTTTATATATGTTCATCCTCCATTTGGCAATTCCTAGCTCGTGTGTGGCCTAAATTTCATTACCACATATTGTTGAACAACATCCTGCCAAAGCACTACATATGTTTTACGTTGTATTAACCAAAAAATAAAGTGACAAAGAAAAAAACCAAAACTTACCGACAGTAGCTGAATAATAGGTCGAAATTCCAGGCATGCCTACATTCAATGAACCCGTCATCACAGTTTTACCCATTCCATCACCCAAAAACACAACATTTTTCTTCTGTAACGGTACCCGGACTATCTCCTCGTAAACACCCGACTTGATCCATATCACGAATTTCCGGCCAACTCCACGGTTGTCGGGAGCCACATTCACCGCCTCCTGCACCGTCTGGAAATCGCAGCCGCCGCCATCTTTGCACACAGTGACGTTCACCTCCAAGCCCCAGGGTATCCCGCCGGAAAAGTAGAACCCGGAACCGGACCCATCGACCCGATCCCAAAACCCGTTCCGCTCGGTCCGGACGGGGCCCCAAGATCGGGGGTCCTCACCGAAATTGTCGTAGTTCACCATCATTGCCAATGCGTTACCGGTCAAGAAAGCTAACTTGTTTAGGAACGCCACCGATTCGTTGGTCTTGTAATCCCGGTTTACTTTAGCCAACCCGACGGAGCACCCGGATTCGTAACCCAAAGCCGCGCTCATCCATGCACGTGCGTCTTTTATCCTTCCAAGTGTCAGAGCCTCGGCCGTCGAAACCGTCCGGTACTGGGAGTTGATAAGGCCGTCCAGGCAGCCTCTGGCGGCGGTGGTGAGGTTGAGATCGCCGGCGGCGAGGGAGGCGTTCAGTATGGAGCTCACCATGGCGGTGGCTAAGTTGAGGTTTTCCGAGGAGGCCCACGTGGCGGATTGAATGACATTTAAGAGGGTTGAATTAGTAGTAGTGGGAGGCGGAACGTGACCCGATTCGGATAATGTAGACTCACATGTCGGTGGGTCACGTGAGGCTTTGCATGCTTCGTGGATGAGGCCATTCTCATTCTCATTCCCCGCGGGTTGATCGGAAATAGTTCCCCAGCGTTGCTCCGGCGGAGGGATGGCGGTGATACTGGTGGCGGAGGAGAGAGATGAGTGGAGGAGGAGGAGGGAGACGAAGAGAGTAGAAGAAAGATAGTGTGAAGAAGAATTCATGTTTTGTTTGTTTTGAGGAAAACTATGAAACATGGAAGAGATTTTGTCAGTTGTCCCCGTGATGGAAGAGGGATGGGCGAGCAGTTATAGAGAAGCCGTCGGTTTCAAATAATTTCGTATTGGCGTGTTTTGTTCGTGGAAAAATAAATTGAAAGCGAGACTTAACAAATTTATTTACCATTTAAACTCAAGAAAAAAAGAAAAGTTTGGTGCGTGAAGTATTGAACCACATACATATAGGATGGTAAAATTGGCATATCTATCCTCATAATAGTACGAGTAGTTACATTTATTGTAAATTTTTCTTTTAAAATCTAAAGAATCACATCTACTTGCCAAAAGAAAAAGGGTAGAGAGTCATGGGATTAATACTACGTAGTAATTAGTTAGTTTAAATAATCATATCGCTTATACGTATACATCACCAAGTATGGAAACTTCCTTCCGTGTTGGCGATTGCAAATTAGTTAGAAAAAGTATGATGATAAAGTGACACTTTGAAATCGTATGGTGAGGTATGTATGTGTGGTTTCGGTGAATGTTCACCACATATATATATATATATATATATATATATATATATATATACATTGTGCACAAATTATATCACACCAATATATATATATATATATATATTGGTTTTTGGTAATTTGAAATATTATTTGGGTAAGTGTAATCAACTACACTTGCCAGATAATTTTTCAATATTATCTGGCAAAATCAATCTGATAATATTGAACAACATGTTGAATATCTTCATATATTAAACACTTACCCAATCTGATAATATTACACTTACCCAAACATTGAATCTGATAATATTGAACAACATTTTAAACATCTTCATATATTAAAGGATGTTATTTTACGAAATGGATTAGTAATATCTAAACCAAAGATGCTTTTGTTTCAACATAATATAAGATTTCTTGGTCATCAAATAAGTCAAGGGAAAATAACCCCTATTCAACGATCAATTGAATTTTCTTCTAAATTTCTGATGTTTTCTTGAGAAAATTCAACTCAGAGATTTCTAGGAAGTTTGAATTATATTTCACCATACTATAAGAATTTACAGAAAGATTTAGCAATTCTATATGATTTGCTTAAAAATCAATTAAATTTGATTGATGAAAAGCATACTCAATTAGTTAAGCAAATAAAAGAAAAGGTAAAAACTCTACCATGTTTAACATTAGCAAATCCAAATTGGAAAAGATAATAGAAGCGATGCTAGTAGCATAGGATTCGGTGGAATCTTAAAGCAGTTAACCCTCATGATAATAATGAATATCTTATTAGATATCATTCGGTAAATGGACGAGAACCTCAAAAGAAATATGCAATCTGTTGCACAAGAATTTCTTGCTATTGTAAAATGTGTATTAAAATTCCAAGATGATTTATTTAATCGATCGTTTGTCATTCACACCGATGCACTTGCATTAAACACATGATTTATAAAGATTATAAGCATGATTCTTCAAAGCAAATATATGCTCGATGGCGGGCTAATTTAGCCCCTTTTGATTTTGAAATTTTATATAAAAAGGTAGTGATAATTCCTTACGATTTCTTATCACGTGAATATTTGCGGGATGGAGTGGCCACAAATTGATTATCTTAATCCACTATCCGTAATACATATTGCTTATAATAAGATTGTTCTTGAATATAGGCATTGTAGAACGGAATATATTTTTGCGAAGCATAGACTAAATCACTTTTACGAGTTCGTAATACAATTCTTGATTGTCTTTGATGAATTTACTTCACCACAACAGATAATATCATTTGAAGACCTTGAATTTGTCTATGACATGATAGAAGACTTCACTGGAAGATTAAGCGAAAGTGAAGAAAAGTTGAATTATTGTAAAGCCAAATTATCATTAATAATTCTCTAATTTTCAGGATTATGTATCCACCAGATCGAGGACGCGGCCCTTATAGAGGTCGTGGAGGAAGAACAATAAACCCTGTAATACAACATGGGAATAAAAGCTAATAGCTGCTGATTTTCAAAATCTCGGGAGGAATCCTCCTCATCAAATGCGAAATTGGTCCAAATAATGGATTTTATTCGAAAGATTCGCATTATATAAGCAGATTATGGACCAAATCCAAGAGCAACAAAGTGATACCTTTTTTGCCAAAATAAGTGATCTTGACAGGATGATATCCGGTCATATGAAAAAGGATCCACAAAGGAGGTAATATTCCTTCTTGAAAACGCGATATTCGGTGGAAAGAAGATCCATGGGTAATATTCCGGAGATATCTAGCGAAGGGTAACGATACGGGTGAGTCATACAAACCCGAAATTATTATGAGAATATTCTCAAACAAACATGTGAAATAACACATTTCAGTCTAATCAGACTACAATGAAGTTTATAACTTCTCAAAATTATTATTAAAAGATTTTATCTTCGAAGAATGGGAATTTCAACCCTTTTCGAAAGAGAAGTACGTAATACTCCTACTTCTCCTCCTTTGAAATTTACTTATGGGATTATATCCAAAGTTTTACAAAACTTTTATTATGAAAACCCCAGGAAAAAGCATACTTGGTTCATCAAAATATGCTCCCATGTGTATTCTTCTCCCATACCCAACTGGTTTATTCAGTGGTGGGCATTATATGGCCCAACAGCAAAAATTTTGCCAGATAATTTTTCGAAATTATATTATCAATGGTTAAAATCCTCTCCTATCATTAATAAACTTCAACACAGTCATATCTATGCTCCAGGGAAAATCACTCTGTTATATTTCTTTATTGAATTCTCAATTCCTTGGATTTATAAATGGGTCCCTGAGGTGGGATTCAATGAATTTCAAATTCCGTGTCTTTATAAGACATATTACACCAAATTTTGGGACAAATTAACAAAGGTGAATCACAATACCAAAAGAATAGAAGGACAAGATTTGCTGGACGAAATTGCCCAGAAAATCAAGGAATATACTCAAGAAAAGGAACAGCTTAAAGCAAACCCAGATGAAGAAAGTCCGTTTAAACACATAACAAAGCGGATTCGGCTTGAGAAGGAGCAATTAATAAGGAAGAAATAATATCGCCTATATGAAAGAAGTTAAAGCAGATCTCATGAGAAATTTAAAGAATCTCGACAATGATAATATTTCGGAAAAATCGATGTTTCGATGAAGAGCATAACTTCAAATGAAGAAAATTCGTTTGCAATATTGGTAGGAGAATCTCGGTCACGAGAAAAGATGACGATCACGATGAATTCATCAAAATCATTTACAACAGATCCAAGAATCACTCAATCAGCAAAGGAAAAGAAAAGAATGAAGTGACAAAAGTAGGAATCTACTTTTGAAATTTTGACAAAAGTAGGAATCTACTTTTGAAATTTTTGTACAAATAGACCACCACCTTCATCAAATGAAGAAAACCATGTCAAATAATGACAAAAGTTAATAATTTTTGTACAATAGTAGTTTTAACTTTTGTAGAATAGTAGTTAGGCACTTTGTCTATAAATAGAATGTAGAAATTCTTGTGGGAGTATCATTCTCTCCAAGTATTCTCTCATTTCTTCTCCCTTTATCCCGAAATTCTCTCTCTCCCTTGTAAAAACATCATTTAGTAAATATATCTTTCAAGTTTGAAGCATTGAAGAAGCCTTTAAAGGTAATATTTTCTTTTAAGTTTGTTTTAAGATATAGTTTGAAGTACTCAGACAATGTCTGAGTAAATCCTTTGTCTGAATCAAACATTTGGCTTTTGTTTACATAAATTATACATGGAAGCTCTATCTCCTTCTTCTCTTTTAATTAAAATACGATGATTTGAGATTGGTTCCAATCCCGAGTTCATCGGAAAACTCAACAATAAGTGCATTGGGCTGGAAAAGTACCCGCTATGATGAATTGTTTTAGGGGAAAAGAGGCCACATGATGCACAATAAGTTGTGAATTCCAGACAGGCTTGAGAGTTGGGTGAAACTTTTCCATGCATCTCGATTATTGATATTTTAATTAAGGATGGATAGAGATTTTGATCCTGTAGCTGGCTGACAAGGCATAGCTCCCGGATGAATGGTATCAGCCAGGGTGGTGGTTTGGATTCCGGCCTGGTTTCCTTGCTAGTCTGTTTGCCTGGTCTTACCGGCTAAGATAAGCACTGGCCAGGCCCCAACCCCACGCCAAATTACCAAGAATCAGCTCAATCAGCAAAAGGAAAAGAAAAAGAATGAAGTGACAAAAGTTGTAAAACCCTTTCATCAGAATTTAAAGCAATTGATTGTTCAGTAGTTTTAACTACCTGTTTAACCAAGTATCGATCAAACATACCATATTCATACAAAGTATTAGTGGGTACCTTTGGTATTGACCACTTATTAAGAAGAGCAAGTTGTTGAGGCATATCATATTCCTCTTGAACTGAATTTTTTATTGAAGTACTTTCTAAATTATTCATTTTTAATTAGGTTCTGAATCAAACAAATCTTTTGTAAACATAAAAAATACATAACCGCTCTGATACCAAATTTGGCGTGGGGTTGGGGCTGGCGGTGCTTATCTTAGCCGGTAAGACCGGGCAAACAGACTAGCAAGGAAACCAGGCCGGAATCCAAACCACCACCCTGGCTGATACCATTCATCCGGGAGCTATGCCTTGTCAGCCAGCTACAGGATCAAAATCTCTATCCATCCTTAATTAAAATATCAATAATCGAGATGCATGGAAAAGTTTCACCCAACTCTCAAGCCTGTCTCTGAATTCACAACTTATTGTGCATCATGTGGCCTCTTTTCCCTAAAACAATTCATCATAGCGGTACTTTTCCAGCCCAATGCACTTATTGTTGAGTTTTCCGATTGAACTCGGGATTGGAACCAATCTCAAATCATCGTATTTTAATTAAAAGAGAAGAAGGAGATAGAGCTTCCATGTATAATTTATGTAAACAAAAGCCAAATGTTTGATTCGGACAAAGGATTTACTCGGACATTGTCCGAGTACTTCAAACTATATCTTAAAACAAACTTAAAAGAAAATATTACCTTTAAAGGCTTCTTCAATGCTTCAAACTTGAAAGATATATTTACTAAATGATGTTTTTACAAGGGAGAGAGAGAATTTCGGGATAAAGGAGAAGAAATGAGAGAATACTTGGAGAGAATGATACTCCCACAAGAATTTCTACATTCTATTTATAGACAAAGTGCCTAACTACTATTCTACAAAAGTTAAAACTACTATTGTACAAAAATTATTAACTTTTGTC